CAGTAAGTGATAATGCCAACGAATTTTAAATTGAACTAACTTACCCATAAATTTATTGAGTCTAGGAAAAGAGCTTGTGATACCTAAAACTAGTTACGTGTTTGTAAAAATCAATTACTTTCGCAGTTTGTTATGCATACTCTACTAATACTGTAGGAAACAGTTTCTACGCATTTCATTTTAAATTTAAACCCAAACAATGTATATGGTTTACGTTTGTATTGCCACCAAAATACTTGTTACAATTTCCAGCCATAGGGAGTATATTATTGTTATATTTCAATTACCTATCCAATCATTCCTTGCTAATGATAAATTCTCTAAAACTTGCTTACTTTATAAACAAATCCAGATTCCAAAATGTCTTAAAATGATGTATATATTGCCTATACACTTTCATTACAAAAAGCCCTTAACGATAGGCCTGCATAAAAGTAATTAGAATCTACATCAAAGGTACTCCAAACTAAGAAATCTTATTGTCTTAGCCTTTACAACTAGCAAGTAGGCCTATCCCTAAACATTGTAATACACAGAGCTACGTCAAGAAAGATTTCCATGTAAATACGCAGTAATACACGTATTTCAAAAAGAAATCTAGTGTGTTGTCAAGCAAAGTTTATTCACCGAAATGGAAGGGAGAGGACGATGTAAATCCTTCGGAAGATACGTTTCTAACTTTCAACTTTTTCCTGCGATGGGAAAACTTGTACGTTGCCTTAAGCTTCTTTGCATGCAGAATAAGACCTCTGAATTTTCAAATATCAACCCAGAAGGTAAATACTACATACAACTTCCATGCAGCAGAACACAATTATTTGTGTATTTTAATTGCCAGCTTAAGCCTTTCTATGATAAACATGTTTCCTAATACTAGTTACTAATACATTAATACTAGTTTATAAATTTTTGCTCAGGAATGGTTAGCTGGATGCAAATAATGCATTGATTTACAAACCTAATTGACCATTACACTGATTTCACGGCGGCAATTACATTCGGTTAACAAATTAAATTTTAAAAACAATAACTAAGCTTCCGTCGAAGTCGTTACTGTGACGACCAATGCCACTGGGATCAGTTCAATCAAATTATTTCATTATTGATTTCACGCAATGATTTTGATTCCCGTACCATCATCACTATTGGTTCCAATTTGTTGCCGATGAAAGTTAAGTAGTAGGCTTTAGAATAATGAAGTATAAACTCATTCGGTTGTTTTAATTTTGCTAACTTGTAATTAATAAAAGTAATCATCATTTAGGCAGATCATCTATGCGAATAACAGTTGCTGTAGTTGCTCTATATGATAATGATATAATGTCGTGCTATGATTTGATTATAGTGTACTATTTGTTACGTTTCCACAGTTATTTCATTTCGTTTTATTTATAACTATTGTGTTGAAATTAAGGATTGCATGTCGCACAAAAAACACAACAGTTATAACCAGAGGATATAATTATTACTATCAAATCAAAGTTATGGATAATGTAAAATTTCCGGTCGAATCTCTTTGTTTTCATAGGGCCTACACTTTTAAACAATGCCTATAGTTTTACCTATGTCCCATTTCATTTGCCAAACTAGTTTGAAAAATAAACAGTTAAACGTGTTAAATATCTTCGCAACAAAGCATCCTCAGCCGATAATCTCTATACTTATCTTACAAAGATTTACAGCTTGCAAGAAAAGTTAAGTGAGCTAAGCTTGATAACTGACTAAATTAGCCAAGTTCCGAAAAGTGTTAAGTTTATTGATGAGGTGGAGGCATTTGCATAAAGTATGTAGCCGGAAGATGTGTTGGCAAAGTTTGAATCCACTTTCGGCCAAGAACTTTTATAAAGTAAGTTTAAGAGTTATTGTAGTTCCTTTAATCTACCAGGGCAAAGATTGTACAAAACCATTAGCTTATCATCTGCAGTTCCATAGCAGCTTGTACATATTCTACTCAAAACATATCATAGTACTAATTTAAATAAAATATAAGATTTTGTGCACCATAACCCTGGGTCACACATTCACACTATCACATTCCTATTATTAGTCTTATTTCTTCTACCTACCTGAATTAATTGTTATGTTTGTAGGCCTATACAGCTATTGCCTTATATAATCAGTTGATATAACAGTTTAAATAACTTTCTATATACTTATAAATATGAAATCGACGAGAATGTATTCTCATTAAGCTAGTGGTGCTATATCTTAAAATTACCACTTTTTCAATTCAAGCCTGACTAACTTCATGTTAAATTAAACTGCGAATACGAAAAAATAAAATTCTTTAAATTAATAACTTGACTCCTCCCAAGCTCCCCTCGCATATTATAGATTACAAAATAATGCCCGATACTTATGTTGTTGTTCACAATTACAGAATTTAGTTTAAATCGCTCAACATTGAGTAAAGATTACTCTTCTAATTCTACAAGTTATCCCTTTAAGTGTTCTTGTTGAGTAGCGTGTTCGGTAGAATACCTAATTGTATAAACTTTACACCTCTGCATGTTGTTCAAATGAATTATTAATTCGTTCCAAGTGTTTATTCTGTGCCAAGTACACACATGTGCATAATATTTTACTATTCATTTCTGATTACCACACTGTTACTAGGTGTTCCAATCTTGCATTTAAGTTCAAGTATCTGTAGATTTACTAATAAATAATACGAGGTACATATAATTGTACATAATTATAAATCGCGTTAATTAGAGGAGGCTATTGTTAGTCCTTTTTGTTTAAATGTAATTTAATTTTTTTGTGAGGAGTTAGCTGGTCTAGTGGTAGAGCCCGGGGCTTTATGTTTACAGGTCCCAGGCTGAAATCCGATTAATCACCAATGCCACGACCCTCTAGTACTAGCCATTAACAGCCTAGAGTAATGAGTAAAAGAGTTTCAGGTTGAACTAGAGTCCAGGGATGTAAAGGTGGAACATAAAAAAATGTTATTTTAAAATGCTACAAAAGCTTATAATTTGAAGTGGTAAGAAATAATAAATAGCACAACTTTATGCTGTAAATACAAGATTATGATGATTAATAATTATGAGGCAAGGACGTGTGTAATACAGTAAATAAAAGTGATTGAAAGGGTCCGTGGCGGTAGAATATCGTATGTAGCTCTAACACTCTAGCCAAAAAAACTTGTACCATTTCAAACTGTATGGTTTTGATTTTAAAATAAAGTAGTGACTTTGACTTTACCCATTTGTTCAGATTGATTAAAGTCCCTATTTTGAGGGCTTCTTGCTGGTCATGTGTAGAGTTGATCGAAAAAAATACTCTTGAGATCGGGTTTACTAATGGTCTATTGGTTTAAAGCTCTTGAGTTTCGCCCTCGGTACCAATCCCGCCAACCACTAGTATTTTTTTACAGATTTACTATAAAACTTGAGCCCGGTTGTTCGGAACACTTCGAAGTCGTTGCCTGTCTATAAAATAACAAATAAACGGCTCATAAATGAGAGAAATCTTTGTTGTGTTCTCTATTTAATTCAATGCCCCGCGACGAGTTGCCGCCACTGCAGTTGCCGGCGGTTGCCGACTAGCAGTTGCGCGAGGAGACACTGCTCGGCCACTGTGTAGTGGCGGGCAACTGCAGTGGCTGCGTGTGAAAGGTCTCATTTAAAATAATGTTAAAGCTGTGGCGGGCAACCAGTGGCAGTCACCGGTGGCGGCCACCAGTGGCCTCGTGTGAAAGGGCCCTAAAACACTACTTATTTTTGTGTTACAATCTATGATATTTTATCATTGAAGCCAACCACTGGATCCACGCCCAAACTAGACTAGGACTAAAGCGGGTCCGGTATGAAAGTAATCTCACAAACAAATGCAAATAAAACAAAAGTTTGAAAAACAATATGAATGAATCATGAGAAATTTGAAAGAAAATATTTTGTAGAGAAAGCCAAGAAAATTATTCACATAATGTAAGCGATGAAAGTTGGTGAATGTGAAGACAAACTGTGCGATTGTTTACAGTTTGGTGAATAATTCATTAACGGAAATTAATCTCTGTTATGAAATTCATAAGGTAAACTTTCTTCAAGATGGTATGTCATGTTCGATAATGTAAACACTGATATTTATGAAGTGATTCTATTACAGAAAGTTTTCTCCACAAAATGTTCCGCAGTACTTGTAAAAGCTTAGAGGACCTAGAATGTCTTGAGCTATTTGAATAAATCGTCTTATGTAGCTGCAATGAGAAGGGTCCTAGGAAATGTATGTTTTAGTCATGCATATTCAAAATGCTTAGTATATTTTGGAACTGAATTGAACGATAAATAATTTACTCTCATAAATAGTATGGTTAATGTACTGTATTGCTGTCATAGCTTGGATTGGAACATAAGCTATAAATTATTCCTAGTGTTCTCACAAAAATCTTAACATGCCAAATAAATGTTAATAGTTATGTAAGTTTTTATTATTTAAAAATTTTGTAATATATTTTTTTATTTTAATCTTGTAGAAAGTAAAAAATATATTTATAATATAAATTAATTTGTTGTGCAATAACTCTAAAATCAATTCAATTGCAATCAAAGATCATACCAAATCAATCACAGTACAAGGTATGTACAATCTTGCTAGAACTTGCAATTAAATGATGATTCTTATTTTAGAACTTATCTATATAATAAATTAGAGCACAACATTCACCTGTTCCTACTTTACACTTCCGTACAATATTTGCACACACATAAAAAACTTCACTTATTTTAGGTGTGTACAATTTTTACATTTTTTACCTTATTTCAAAAGAAGTAGGTTATGTGTATTTTTTTTGTAGTTTTTAAAAATATTTTTCCTATGAATTAGGTTAAATCAATTGTCTTAAGAAATGGCGAAACCAGACAAATGTATATATATATTAAGGGTGTGAGCATGTATCATATGACTATGATACAGAATTTAGATTGTATGTCCACTGTACAACTAACAGTCGTCCTGGCTGGAAAGCTGAAATGGATTTAATGCGTTGCTTCTGTTAGCAGAAACATCCTCATGTGATTTTTGAGGCGAGGACGAAACCTAACAAAGGATGTGCTAACTCTGGGATGATGGAATACTCGAGACGCCAAAAACTCATGACATCCTTCGTCGGCGTGTCGACGTCCCAGGAGGAAACGAGGTACCGGCGTGACGTCAGTGAAGCGACCAAGTACATAGAAACTGCTGTGGTCATCGACAAGGCTATGGTGAGTACAGACCTGTCTTTATAGAATACTATTTCAGCCAATTTTACCAAATATTACAGCCACGGGGATCATGCAAGGTTAAAAGAGGACCTTTTTAAAAATAGATTTTAATGGAAACGCTGTTTAAGAGCAACCCCCCCCCCTCCTCCCCAGAATTTGAATAATCCCTTGACATAAACACTTGATATAATGTTATATCAGTTCTATTGACAACTATTGTTGTAAATAACACACTATTTAATTTTCGTTGGTTTGATTAATTCAAAATGTTCGCTTAAGGTAAATTTATTGTGATATTAGCAGTCATTAGAATTTCATAAGGGAAGTATAAGACATTTTTAAGGCCAGAAGAATACAGCCCTGGCTAAATTATTCAAATCATTCCTTACAACGCACCAATGACCTTTAAGGAAGTGGAGTTTTAAATAATTTTGTTACAATCCTTCCTGTAGTACACAAGATGTATTTACAAAATAGTAATAGTATTGACACTTTTATATGAGTATCGACATAATAATAAACAAACACCCTATCTTCAAATTGATGTTAGTTTTGGAAATGTTTTGTAGTATCAAGTATTTAATAATTTATTTGTCTACGAAAATGTTAAATCGTCTAAATCTCTTTAAGTCTTACACATAACCGTAACATACAGCTTGATCATCAGTAAACGAACAGCTTTACATAATAAGTCAGCAAAGCGAAAAAAAAATATTTAAAATGTTTGCGAAATACTTTCTAGAGAATGCATGCCACCCAATCGTTACGTACCTGCAAGTTGGCCATGAAAAAGAGGTTTTAGAGCAATGGACTAACGAATAGGTTCAAATAACTGTGCAAGAGTCAATAGTAAGTCAAATGTTACTTACTTGCTTCAAAGAATTAAAATTGGCTTCATTGCCGTTTAAATAAAACCATAGACAAATAGTGTTTAATTCTGTTTCTCTATGATAAAACTATCATCAGCAACGACGCGACGTTGAGATTTTATCCGCTTCACTTAAAAAAGAAATAGAATGTAGCAGGGCATAAATACAAACCCTTTTTATAATATAATTGAACACCTCTATAAACTATAGCTAACTATAACCAACGAATTCGTGTTTGCCTTCTTCTTGTCTTTGTGTATGATATACATAAAATCTAAGACTATCTTGACTCATAACGAATACACTGTCTCTGAAACCGTATGTAAAACTTATCTTTGGAAATAAAACAACTATCTTTGATCAAAGCACATACGTCGTCTAAAGATGAACAAATGTCTCTGTTCAAAAACCAATATGTCTTTCTGGAAACTAATGCTATGGAGTTTTATTCCATCTGTCTTTTACATATTACATTTTTAATAACACATTATATGCTAAGATTTGTTTAGGTTTTTATAAGTTAAAAAGTAGTCATAAGGCCTTTGAAGGTGGATTGATATTTTTACGAGATAAAACAGAATCCAATATTTATTTCAAATATAACCTTAAATTATCCACAAGAAAAAGTGGTGATTAGTTTATATCATTGATGACGGAATCCACGAAAGTGTGTGCATAATTTTTATGTCAAACCTTACATTTAGGCATACTTTAGAATCAGCTTTATTTAAAGTGGAATAACTTAACTCTAAGCCGTAGAGTAAGACCTTGTATAAGGCAGTGTGAGGTTTCAGCATATATTTCTAATACCCGCGTAATTATGAATTGGTTTTGAAAATCCTTCTTTATTGAGGTGAACTTAGGACCTTTCTTACAGTTAACCTCTTGGTTTTCAATGTTTTGAGGAGTCAATGTTTCAGATTTGACGCTACTCTAGTCATGATTCAAATTAAGCTGTATACAAATTCAACAATTTTTTTACATTAATTTTAAACAAACTAAAGTACTTAGATTCCCATAGAACATTCCAAATATTCCCTCCAAAACACAAGGTATTTTTAAACCAAGCGAACAACTACCTTATTAATTGTCTCCTTCAATTTAGATACAATTCCAGCCTGATTACATGGATCACATTTGATGGCTAAATTACACAGGTGTAGACACAATTTGTACCAGTTCCAAGCAATCAGTACGTTGAGATTTAATATCAGCTTCAAAGGCTGCCTCGCTCTCAATCAGGAGAACTACAAGGAAGCATCTTGGGCCCTCCCTTGTTTCCGAAGATACACTGAGTATGTTATGCGGCTGATTACTTACAACTATGTAATTCATGGTAAATCAATGCATATCGACCGTTACTATGTGGTGTGTATAGTAATTAAAAATAATAATAATATTATAAATAACTCACTAAATTTGTTATGCAAGATGGACTCTACTTATCTATATACTTATTTAATACGCAAGCAGGTTTTTTGTGACAATTACTCCTCCGAAACTACTGAACCGATTGAAATGTTTTTGGTGTCATTGGAAAGAGCGTAACGTGAAGTTGTGTAGGAAACTTTCTTTTTATGGAAATAATTAGAGATTGAGGCCCTGGTGCCCTTTAAAGTTTCATATTTCTCCATAAGATTAACAGGGGAAACAAAAATTGTTATTAAACTCCAGCTGTTGTCAGAAATTAAAAGTGAGAATAAGAATATATATTTATTGTAAACAGTCAATAAGATTGCTAATTTAACAGTTTGCTACAAACATTTACTGATTTGGTTGAAATGAAATATTTACTATTTGAATTTGGGTTGGCGTAAATATTGCAATGGAAAAAAGCTAAACAGCCTTGATAAATTGATATAATCTGTTATGTACATCTTGAGTACTTCCAAACCTTTGAGTCGAATCACTTAAAGTCATCAGAAACTATGGCTGTTATTCGTTTAAAATAACACCTGTAATACTTAGCAATTGCTCGAATTCGAGCAACAGGGACACCGATAATAAAATATAAATCGTAAATATTTAGCAAAAATTACATAGATTAAGTGGGCAGTTATACCACGTTTTACACAGTGGATAGTAAACTGTGCTCTTCCTTAAAGTCAACCAGTTCAATATATTTGGACAAACAGCTTCACATAGTATACGTAAAGGCAATTTAAGAAGTACGGTTACTAAGAAGCATCTAAATTATTTACGAAGGTATTGCAGATATTTTTAACCATGTTTGGTAAAAACTACACTTCCACTCCACTCAGTCTTGCCTAACCGCTACATTTTCCCTGCAATGAAATGAATGCTACATTTTTTTCATTCAAGTAATCTAGCTTTCATACTGTAAAAGTTGCTAGATTGCATGAAATATAAATTTTGAAAAATCTATATCGCTAATGAAGTTTTACTTTAAGTATAAGAATTATAACTGCAATTTTAAGATATGTATATTACTTTGAAGATGCATTTCAGGAAGGTAGGATGTGTTAATGTAACTTGTTTGGGATATAATACTTATAGTACTTTAATTTCCTTTCGTTATACCAACTAGTAACAACTTAGCAACGTTTGACTCAATATCGTAATCTCAAACGTAACACATTCATAACAATCATTTGTAAGTTTAAAAAGTTACAAGCTATATCACAACGTCAACAACCCTAGTGAAACTTTATTTATAAACATTATGTGGAACGAAATGACGTTGCCAGTCAAGCAAAGACTGAGTGTGAGACAATATCAGCAAACTTCAAAGCACCGCTACTCCTCTCATGCTGGGAGCTTTTGTTCCTTTATCAGAGCTATAACACACCATATTGTGTGAGTATGGTGCATATTGTGCGGGAATGGTGTACAATGTTCACGCAGAGATGATCACCTTTCTAGACTGGTTCTAATTTGAAATCATATGATAGAAATGGAACAATATGTAATAAGGGGTTGTGTTTTATAACTATTGCTTTGATTTCCTCGGTTCTTCAATATCTTAAGTAATTATTAGGACTAGAGAAATTAAGAATTAATATAGCTACGTATACATAGTTTGGCAATTTGAGGAAGTATCAACAGAATAAACTAAAAAAACAATAATTGGATACCTAAAACTAGGTGTGTAGATCAGGGGTTTTTTATGCCAGTAAGTGACTTTTGAGATCAATTTATATCATTTTTATCAGGCTTTCAATGGTATTTCTACAGCCACAATTATAAACGTGTTAGGGAATATTTCTCACTGATGATAAACTAACTATGCAATAATCTTGCTTATCCATACGCCTTCATGAACTTGGAAATTTTAATTTGTTGTGCTGTTAAAAAATAATGCTTAGCAAACTTTACTTTGAACATGCATTTTTATGGCAGAGTATAAATATACACTAAGTCTATTTAAAGCCTGTTGACCAATTGCCTGGTTAGATGAGTTGTTGAAGTGCTCACCTTATAATCTTAAGATGTTTGTTCGATTCCTAGCGTTTTTAATTTCATGTCACAGACGCAATTTGTCATTGCGTTATCAATTAATTTTGCTATATAACCTAAGGTAACCGTTAGAACATTGCAAATCCATTGTTTAGACCTTTCCGTTAAAAACTCATAACGAATTCCTATTAAATAGATACGTACACACATTTAAAGCATGCTCATGCGTGTTTTCATACCTCTGAAGAAAACCTCACCTTTAAGACCGGTATGAATTGCATCAGCCCTGTAAGTTAACATTATAGGAATTTGGGAACGAGCTTCGCTTTTCATCCAAATATTTCAATGTAATCTCCTCTTACTAAAGTTTAAAATAAGATATATTATTTTAAAATTACCGTGCTACTAAGTAAAGAACCCCAATAAATTCAACATGGCAACAATACACTTAGTTAGCTGTTTAAATAATCGAATTGTTTAATGCAGTGGCACGAAAACATCGGCACAACCTCTGAATATTACACTGCTGTGCTCAAAAGTGCACACTCTTTATTCTAATCCATTCTCACAACCACAGACAAAGCCCATGCTTTCAGCGGCTAAGTATGCTAGCCGGCAACAAAAGGGCAATTCAGATTTCACGTAGCCACTCCACCCTTTTACTTCAATTGTTTAACCACATTTATATACAGACCAATTCACTGTCTGTACTAG